CCACAGAGCATTGCTATTTATTTGGAAATATTTGAAGAGAAGAATGAAGGAAAGATTTATGTTCTAATATTGCGTAATAATTCTGATATTGATATCAAATTTTTTTAAGAGAGAGGGAGAGAGAGAGAGAGAGAGAGAGGGAGGGAAAGAGAGAAAATAATAAAGTTAAGATTGATGCAACAATAACAGTTATAGCTTAAAGTTCTCATAACTATTCACTATTACATCACTATTAAAGTAATTATTTTCTATAGTATTTGTTAACTTTTTCTTTACATTTTATTTTTTTTTTATTCCTTCAATTCTTTCTACATTTTTTTTTGGGAAAATATAAATAAATTTTTGATCGAAATTGAAAATTGAAATTGAATTCTTTTATTTCTTTTGATTGAAATTGAAATTGAAATACTAATAATCTTTTTGAAAATGAGTGAAGCATATTGTAGGAAATAATTTTGTTGATTTAATTGTGATAGTTATATTATGATAAGATTGATTAACATATCACTGATTTAGTATTTATTTAAATTTATTAAATGATTTTTGAAAAATAAAAGAAAAAAATACAAAAAAAAAAAAAAACTGATCATCAATGAATAACAGTGGAAATATTAATCATTTAGTTTTTATTTTTCATTTTTCGAATGATTTCTTTCTCTTTTTTTCTTGAAATTATATATATTGGAATTATAATAATTAATCAATTTCAATGTATTTTATGAATTTAAAGTCATAAAAAAGAAAGAAAAGAGTTGCATTAGTTATTGTCTATGTTTTAAAGAGTACAAAAATAAAAAAATGATCTTTTATAAAATCCAATTTTACTTTTTACATGAACAGATTGATGAAAGGAAAACCATTTAACGTAAATGTAAAATATACAAAAAGATAAAAATACTTTAATTAATTAATATTCTTATGCTAAACTTCCAATATAATCAAATAAAATAAGAAGAGTAAATAAAATTCATTTTAATTTTAATAAATAAATATTTCTTTCTAATCTTTTCTTTCAGTCGAAAAGTGAAACTGATAGCAAAAATAAAAAAAGAGAAAAAAAAAATAATCTAATATCAAAAATGATTCATCTATTTCATTTTTTTTGTTCAAATGATTTATTCTTTTTGTATTATACATATATTAACTAATTTCAAATTATATCAACGAAATAAATTAGAAAATAAAATTATTATTTATGCAAATAATTAATAATAATTAATTTTCAAATATTATCATTTCCAATGTCAAAAATTTTTTTAAATTTATTATTAAAATCTCAAATTGAAGTCTTAAATTAATTAATTGACTTAAAAGTTTAAGCGCAAGAAAAAAAAAGAGCAGTTTAAATTTATTAGTAGAAAAATTTAGGAAATTAGCAGTGAAAAAGAAAAAGGAAAAAAAAAAGAGAAAAATAAAAAATTTCCTGTAAAATTTTTATATAATTAACGTATAAATCATTTTTAAATATTTTGTAGAATTAAAATTTAAATTTTAATAAAAAAAATTATTAGCAAAAAAAAAAAAAGAAAAGAAAAGAATATGAAATAATTAACCTACCGTACTTTTAATACAATCATTTGCACCGTCAAGTTGTAGCATTGCGCCCCTGTGATAATAGTAATAAATAAATAAATAAATAAATAAATAAATAAGTAAATAAATAAATAAATAAATAATAAAATGACAAATTTAATAGAAAAGACTTTTTCACAGAGAATTTTAGCTTAGTTAATAATTTGAAAGAGTAAATAATGAGAAAGAATGATGTGTGATTGTATAATTGTATTGATGAGAGAAAGGGAAAGAGAAAGAGATGAAAAGCTTTTTCTTTCTTTCTTTCTTTCTTCTTCCGCTCTCTCTCTCTCTCTCTTTCACTTTCTCTCTCATCCATTTTTTTTTAATTTCTTTTCCCTTCGCTAATTAACTCTTCTCTCTCTCTCTCTCCCTCTCTCTCTCTTTTTTTAAAAAAATTTTCTATAATATTTGCTATTATATCATCATTTTACTTTCAAGCTATCAACCCTCTAACAATATTAGCAAATATATTAAACAACCGTTGTTAATGGCTACCGTATACCAAAAAGAAAATCAAAAAAGTTTTTTTTTTTTTTCCATCATTTAAAAGTAAAACTAAAATTTTAGTGTTATAAATAAATGAATTTATAATTAAATTTAATGTTTACTTGTTTACAGTATTATTATTTATTACTTCTTGTTTTATATTTTTGTCATTTATGTCACATATATTTTCATAACTTTAAGTTGTTAATTTAATTTTTGTAAATAAAAATAAATGAATGCATCTTTTATTATCGTCAATATTTCAAACCAAATATTTATATAATTTAAATAATTTTTTGCAATTTTTTATTTTTGTAATTACTTGTTTATTCTTTATAAAAATATCATTCGTAAGTAAATATGCAAGTAAGTAACAGATGAATAAATTTATACATTAAATATAATTATAAATGATATATCTATATATTTCATTGTAAATTTTGCTTATTTATTTTTGTAAAAAAAAAAAACACACACAAAAATATATTTTATGATTTAAGCTAGAATAAAATTAAATTTAAAATGAATTAAAAAGCATAAAATAATACAAAAAAAAAAAACGTACAAATTTTTATCGAATTGAAATGATATCTTTTTTTTTTCTAAGTTTAAAAAAAAATTAATGAAATTATGAGGCAAATAAATAAAAATTTTGTATGATTCAAATAAATTTTTTAACCTCATAAATTCATATACCACTCATTTTTTTTTTCCTATCCTATCATCCACAAATAATTTTACCCTTACCCATATTTCTTCCCATATTTGAATCTTATTTTAGTGAAAGCTTTTCCACTTTCATATGTGTACCGTTAATCGTAGACTCTCAAATGTAAACATATCATTTTTCAAATTATCGATTCTTTTTTAAATATACTTGCAAGTTATATGCATGCATGCATGCAGTCAGCCTCAGTCATCATCATTAATTTTGCCATTCATCCATTTTAAATTGGAAATGAAAAAATGCTGAAATCAAATAAAAAAAAAATCTTTTTTCTTGCAAAATTATTGCAGCAAATTATATGATGAAAAAATAGTTTTTTTTTTTTTTTTTCTACAAAATGTAAGTTTAGAAATTTTTGAATTTTGAAATTTAAACTTAATTTTCAAAAAAAAAAATTTTTGAGAATTAAACTATTCCTGCACCTTACTTTCCTCCTTTTTCTATTTCCATTTATTTTTGATAGAAATAGTATAATTTAATTGGAATTTTTAATATAAACAAAAAAAAAAAAATTGGAGAAAGAAAAAAATTTTTATAATTGTAGCAATACACTGGATGAAAAATAATCCATTATAGTAGAATTTGAAACTGAAATCATGAAAGAGATGAAATTGGTTAAAAGTTAAATTAATTTGAAAAAATAAAATTAAAGAGAGATAAAATTAATTTAAAAATAAAATTAATTTAAAAAAAATAAAATTGAAGAGAGATAAGAGATAAAATTAAAAATTAATTTAAATGAAAATTAAAGTTTAAATAAGTAAAAAATTGTTGTATTACTATCTAATGACACTTTTATTATATCAAATCATTAGCTCATACAGCGATTCGTTTCATTACAAATAAAAAAGTGACAGAAACGATTGAAAAGTGAATGAAACTCTTTGTTAAATTGTATTTGCTAAGTTGAAAAACACGATTTGCAAACAAAAATGTGACACTTTTTTTTTTTTAAATTAAAAGCTATACGAATTGAATGCTTTAAATTTTAATCTTTTCTTTTTCTTTTCTTTTTTTTTTTTTTTTTTGCAAAACTCAAAAATTTTTTCTTCTCTTATTAAAATGTAAAATTTTAATTTAAAAAATTTGTAATAATAATGAAGAAGAGAAATAATCAAATTATAGTTTTACACCTTTGAATATTTCTCATATTAATTTCAATAACTTCGTCGAAATTTTTGAAAAGCTAAGTAGAAATTTTATAATCCATTTAGCATATTGTTCCTAATTTTTCTCGATGTTATTATTTGCATTGTTTTGAAAAAGTCCCTTCCACGTTTTCCACGTAAAATTTACTAATTTTAGTGACTTTAATAAAAAAAAAAAAAAGACGATTTATGATTTATTTTTCAATTTCATGCAGAAAATATTGAGTCACTTTTTTAAATACTTATTTCTATTAAATATGAAATCAAACTAAATTTCTGAATCACATTGAAATAAAATTATTTTTTTTTTTTTACTAAATAATACAGGTAGCAAAAGAAATCCAACAAATTGATAATTCGAAGTGTTTTAAATTAAAGAATAAAATTAAACAATACCATCAACAATGGTTAATTTATTAATGCATTTATGAAATGGATATTATTTCAATGAATATTTTAACTCTATGCAAACTGTGAATATTAGTTTAAATTTTATTAATATTAAATTTGTAATTGAAGACAACAATTAACAAAACGTGGATTAGCTACCAAAAGTTTTATGAAATTTCATTTTATTAAAATAATAATAAATAATAGTAGCAAATATAACTTTAAAACATAAAACATGATCAATTGCAGAAAAAAAAAACACACAAAATAAATTGATAAATAAATAACGAGAAAACAAAAACTTTATGCAATAATTAAAAAAAAAAAAATTATCAATCGATCATTTCCGATTATTTATATGTAATTTCTGGTAGATGCATAAAGCTTTAGCATTATTTTTATACATTTGAAATTCCCGAAATTTGATCAAACAAAAAATATGGCTAAAGTTTTAATTTTAAATTTCACAAAAAGAAAAAAAAAAGGGCATTTATATACGATTAAACTAATTCTTAGTTGCAAAAATAAATGAATTTAAACAAATCTGATCCAAAAATTCAAAAAAAAATTATTCAAAAAAAAAAAAAAAAGAAGAAAACAAAGAGATCCAAATAAATAACCGTGAAAGACGCATAATTTATTTAATAATTGTATGCAATTATTTAAGGTATGGATTAAATTTTTGGGAGCGGTAAACACCAGCCAATTCCGCCATTAGGGCAAATTTTAGCCCAGCAATCTAAGTCATCCGGAATACAGCGTTCTTCAGGTGTACATGATTGACTTGTATTGTGACATAGTGATGAAATTAAACAACATCGACGACTATAATATGATAAACCGGAATGAGTACCGGATCGAGTATTGGATGTTGCTAGAAAGCAAAAAAAAATAAATGCTTGGTGATGATGTGAATTTAACAATGAATAGGAAAGTTCATACAGGTTAAACATAAATTTTCCATAAGATTACGGAAAATTTTGGAATAAACAAAAGTTAAAACAGAAAATTTAAATTAATATTTAATTTTTTTATTAAATTATATTAAAGTTAACTTTAAGATTCAAAATTTATTCCAAAATTTTTTTTTGTAAAAAGAAAACTGAATTGACTAATATAAGCTAATTTCCGTATTGATCCCATTTTAATATAAGCTGTTTCAAAAAAAAGAAGAAGTGAAACTGATACCGGTTGTAGTAATTGGTGTTCTTTTCAGTGAACGTTTACAGAGTGCCGAATAACCGGAAACATAATTGCAATCCCATTCATTCCAGGATCCTTCCGGACGATCAAAATCAAGCCACATTGTTAAGCATAAATCTGTTCCAGATGGTAATTCTAGAATGATAAACATGATATGTAATATTATTATTACATTAATAAAATTAATTAAATCTTAATTTTATCCATTTAAATTTTACCACCTCGAAAACCATCGGTATGTCTTCCTATTGCACCATCATTCCATTCATATGCTCCGGTTTGTGTTAATTTCACCAATCGTCCCAACCATAATGTTGGCGTTGACAAATTTGCATCCTTTGCTAGATCTTTAAAAAAAAAATTTAAAATTTTTTTTTTATTTTTAACACAAAATACAATCATTTCAATTTTGTCTTACATTCAAAACATAAATGTTTTTAATTGAAAGATTTTTAAAAAAAAAAAGTGTTTGAATTTTTTTACAAATTAATAATTTCCTAATTTTTTTTTTTAATTTTAAATTAAAGAAAAAAAAAGAATAAAAAACTTACTAAAAGCAAACATATTTTCATATTCATCCGTAATCGATGCTAAATGTCCACCAAAATTAGCGCATGCTCGTTCTGCTTCAGACCAACGCATCCGACGTTCGATTACTTGAAAGCAGGATTTGGTACGTTCGTAACGTGTCCAACCACGTGGACATTCTGTCTCATGTTTATTTGATAATTGCTCTACTAAAAGTAATTGTTTTTATTTATTATTTCTAGAAATTTCTTTTCTTCAAAAACTATTTGTTTTTTTTTTTTAAATATGAACCTATGAATGATTTATATAAGTAACGTGTGAACACGTACGATAACATTCTATGGTTTCTCATGTGTTTTACGTTTACGTTTCAGTAATGCTTAAGAAAATTTGTTCGTTACAACTAATTAAGCCATTATTTATTGTCTGTATGTTGTAGATTTATAATAATCTGACACGTTATGACCTTGTATTGACCTCTTAATCAAATAGTTCATTATTTAATTAAATTTTAACAACTGTTATATAAGGTTTGCTCTCGAATTTATTCATTTCAATTATGCTAATTCATTCATAATTAACATTTTTATGCATTTAAAAAAAAAGCAAACCTAAAAATTTTAAATCAAAAAAAAAAAAGGCTTTTTGATAAGCTTATTATCTTACCATTATGATATCTGTTGTTAACATTAGCAGTGATAATCTTTGTAGAAACATATCGTAATGGTACCAAATTAAAGATAAGTAATAAAAAATAATAATTGACGAGAATTATTTCAGGCGACATCATTTGATTATCCAAATATTGTTTACCATTAGCAATTTCATTTGGCTAACTTTCACAATGTGTGTCAATTGAACCGATTTGTTTATTTGATGTTAAATGTGTTTGAACGTTGGTTTGTTCAATGCTTATTTGATATTTGATATGACAGTATCTTTTCATATATCATTAAACTATCAATCAAATTCATTAATGTAAATGTAGAAAAAATAAAAAAAGAAAAAAGCCGAAATGAGAATTAGGGAATTGTTTAAATAAAATTTTCACCCAATTTTTTTTTTTTTTGAAATATAAACAAAATTTGAACATTTAAAAAGTTTTTTTTTTTTCCTACAAATTTGATGCATTTATTTTTAAGAAAAAATTATATTTTATAAAATATGTATAAGTTTTTCCAAGATAATTTATTTGTAATGCCTATTTTTAATTATATTATACAGTTGCTTACTCTAATTAATTCGTCAATTAATTATTTAAACTAATTGAAACAATTTTTGTATTGTCACATATTGTTACCATTCTAGAATTTATTCAAATATTACTAGTAATTTGGTAGCTTCAATGAAATTAGCCTGATTTTAGCTATTATAAAGTAAAAATAGCTTTGAGAAATTCGAATTAAAAAAAAAAACTATTTGAATAAACAATTTAAACTGCAAATATAGAAATAAATATAAGATTATATCAAATGATTGGTACATACATAATAAACAACACAAACTCTGTCAAAGCTTTTAACCGTTAGGAAAAAAAAAATTTTTTTTCTTTTTTAATTTATAAGAAAAAAAGATATAAATGATAGCATTATCTTATCTTTTCATAAATTTTAACAACAATCATATCAATTTATTTCATCTGTTAATAGCAGAAAACAAATAAAATCCGTTCACTCTAACTTTTTTCTTTTTTAATTTTTAAAATTTTGTATATAAGATTCATTTTATGTAAATATACCAGAATTTAGAGTTAAAAATTATAAATAATACTTAAACACCTAACGTCAGCTGTCCTGGATATCTGATACGGTAACCTGAAAGTTTCTCTCGGATTAAGAAATGGTAAATAAGTTGAGATCACATATCATATAAACGAATTTCTAACTTAAATACGTATGTGTATGTGTGTCTGTGTATGTGTGTATGTGTGTATGTGTGGCGGTTATTAAAGGTATCAAATTTTCGAATGCAATAATAAACAATAAAAATGTTACGCAACAATATCTCCACTAGATCACTAGATCAAATTCTAATTATTACTTACTTTTATTGCGTCAGATCAAATAATGTTTAACTACTACTACTACTACTACTTATTCACTAGTTACTCTTTATTATTTGATTGGTAAACTATTTCCCACTATATAAATTGTGAAAAGAAAAGGGAAAATTGAAATTGATCCACAAATGATTAGAAATTAAGAAAAAAAAAATAGAAACAATAAACTTTAAATTATTAATAACTACAAATGAAATATTTCCGAATTTGAGAATTTTATATATAATCTTTTTTTTTTTTTTTAGAAATAAATCAATTTTGATTATTATTTGATCTGTTTTTTGCTAAATTTGGCATAACAAATGATTTTATTTATTACATCAACTAAATCTATTCTATTTTTTTATAGTAATAATATTAATTTAGAAAAAAAAAAGAAGAAATAGATAATCAGAAATGAAAGGTTAGCAAAAATTTTAAATAAATGAATAATGTTCATTATTCCAAAGTTGAAATAATAATTTTAAGCCTAAACAAGAAGAAGAAGAAGTAAACATTTATTTTTTAATGAAAGGAGATGAAATGCTCATTATTATAAGCAATATGAATAAATAATGATCAATTACTAATTCTAAATAATGACCAATTACTAATTCTCATTAAATATACCTTTATTAATTGCTTATTTTAATTACGGTAATCCAAATTAGCTAATGGTAATACTTACTTCAAATGATGATATTTTATTATATCTGATCTAATTAGCATATATGAATGGATGAATATAAGATTGGTCAACTTATTAGCATATTAATAATGATCATTGATCATTTAAAAGTACCAATAAAGTTTTCCACTTCCCTTTTTTTTTTTGTTTATTATTAGGAAAAAAAAAGTAACAAATTATAATATTAAATAAAAATTAGTCATATGTTAAAAGATTGAAATCGTAAATTTAACCATAATATAATTTTGAATGTTAAGAAAAAGCGAAGTATTCTTCAACAAAAAAAAGAAAGAAGAAAGTTTAAAAAATTATTTATTTCATCTACAAATTATTATCTATTATCTATTACATTATATAAATGACATTTTTTTTTTTTTTTTTTTAAATAAGAAAAGTACGATAAAAATAATAAATGAATAAGCGAAATTCTTTGCAAAGAAAATAAATGAAAATGTGTCACATTTTTTTTTTCCTTAAACCATTAGAAATTTATCAATGAATTTATCAGTGATATGATTATATTACTGTTATCGAATTTTCACAATTAATAGCTATCAAATTGTTTGCTTCTTTTATCTAAAATTGCTTATTGCATTCCTTTTTTTGCTGAAGCAAACTTTTATTTTATTTCTATCTTGCTATTATTCTGTTTCAAAGTAACAACACTTTTTCCTTTTATTGTTTTTAATCAAAAAAGAGAGAGAAAGAAAAAAAAAAACATTAAGTTTCGAAAAAATAAACAATAAAGATGACAATGTATGAGGAAGTATAAGGAAGATGGACAAAAATGAGGCAAAAGGTGAGAGTAAAATCTTCATTTCATAGCAAAAAAAAAAAAAAAGGATTACAGAAAATTTGGATGATAAATTCATTTGTAGTTTTTTAGAATTCAAAAATTGCAGAAATGCTATTTTAATATTGAAATGAAAATTTGACAGAGAAAAAGACGAATAAACTATAAACAAGCATTTGATAAAGCAAAGAGAAAAAAAGAAAAAAAAAAAGATATACAGTTTATATTCTATCATTAAATATAAACAAAATCCATGAGATTGACAAGTTGCATTACGTCACATTTCCTTCTTTCCTTCAGTGATAAGAAGGATTTGTATTAATTTTGCATTGTGTGATAAGTGATAGGGTGGGTGAAAGGTCATTCCTTTCTTATCAATTATCAGCAGTGTTAAAAATATACTCTTCCTTATTTTATTTTAATCTCTTACAAAGCAAAAAGAGTAATATTTGTTATGGCATAATTGGAGGCATTAGGAGAAAAAAAAAAAAACGGATAAAAGATAATATGAATTCAAGTACATCCAATTTTTTTTTCAAACACTAATACAAGCAAAAAGATATATTATACAGTATTATTAACATAAAATAAGAACTTTTCTTTTCTTTTTTTCTTGATCAATAAAATAATCAGTAATTGATTTGTAGATATAAGTAATGGAATAAATCAACCATTACTTAATTAATGAATATCGATCGATCAATAATTGCCAGATTTATACATAAACGAAATTTGACTGGTCAATCAATAATCGTCGTACTTATGGACTATAAGGATATAAGTGACCAGCATCTGGTGATCCGCTTCCGTCAGCAGCTGTTTTCGGTGGCATCTGCCATGTTGCTGTATAAATATGATGACGAGGACCTTTCTTGGAGAATGGATCATCTGATCCAATCAAGAGGTATCTGTTTAAGTGCCTAAAAATGAACATTTTGCATAATTTTTCCATCAAAGCAACAAATCATTGATATAATGTATCATTTTAATGCATTTCAAAATTATAACTGAATTTTAAGACAAAAATATATTTAAAATATTGCACATAATGTTAACTTTAATGCAAACAAAAAGAAAAAAAAAACGGTTAAAATTAAGCAAACACTCAAGTATCAAAATATTTTTTTTCGCTATATGGCTAAGCATAAATATTCTAGATGAACATATTCATACTAAACTTTTCAAATTATCTATCACTTGTTTAGAATACTATAATCTTTTTATTAAAAACTTTCTTATCAGATTTTGCTAACCTCAATATTATAAGAATAAATAGGAAATAAACAAGAAATGCATCGCAAATCTATTCAGCTGTTTAAATTTGTATAGTAAATTGCAAGTTTCGTAAAAGTGAGTAATAAACAAATAACAAAGTTCAAAAAAGATTTGAGACTTCGAACAAATTATTGTTAATGATTAGAAACTAATAAATAAGAAACACAAATTCCTAAGAGTTTATTCTTACCTGTAAAGCCTGTAAATAATGTAAAGGAATACCATTTCCAGCACTGCCATTGCAAGATATATTGCAATGATCATATAACCAAGTGTTATGGTTGCTGAAAATTGTTTCAATTTGAACATCAATTGCTTATTAAAGCAAATCTTAAAGAAAACTATGAAAACTTTTATGGTAAATTATCACTAAATTGTAAAATTACCATTCAAAAATTTTTGAAGTAAGAATACAGAAATGAATCTTGAAAGATCATTAAAGTCTTATTAGAATGAGCGCTAAAAATTATTTAAAATATTTTCCTTTCATTTTGTTTAGTGTTTTAATTGATTTTGTCTTTTTTTTTTTCATGGGTATATTCAATTCATTCCAAAACGAATAATCTTCTTAGAACAAAAATTATTGATAGAAATGTATTCTAAACCGTCTATTTTTTTTAAGTTTTATTATGATTATTTTTGCAGTTCTACGAAAAACAGTTTGAAAATATAAAATTATAGTTGCTGAAATCAAAAAAGTTAATGTATAATAAAAATTTAGAGATGGAAACTAGACCATCATCGGTGATATGATAAGTTTCATGACCAAGAAGATTTCGAATGCCACGATATGCACCAAAAATTAGCAACAGTGTAACAACAAATGCCACAATAATCAGGAAGAATATTAGAAATATCTAAAATTGATTAATTAAATTAAATAATCAACATTTCGTCAACATTTTTTGCTCCACCTTTTTTTAATGAAATAAATTTATAGATTTGAAAAAATTTAAACAATATACTTGAAGTGCTTACCCAAGAATTTCAAAA